GATCTGGAGTCCAGAGTCTTAAAAACAATGACATTAAAAAATACTTTTGATTTCATCGGAATTTTTGCTTGAATCGAAAGGAAATCCGCCTAGATCAAGAGGCTCGGCTCTTCAATTCAAGACGAACAAGAGTATCTTTTCTTGTCGATGTTTTTAAGAGTCCGGACGCTAGAGCCAAGTATGTTTTTTCCAGTGTGTAGAAAAGTGTGCGAGAACTTAAAATGTTGAATTACCCCCTACAGCAATTACGTTAGCAATGCTAAGATGTAAAACTAACTGCTATGGCGGGCAATTCAGTGTTTTTTAAGTTCTCGCACACTTTTTTTACAGCTAAAATGTTAAATCAACTTCACTTTTTATCGGTGGAGCTTTGGAAGGACGAGGGGAAAAATTATGAATCTGTGCGAAAACAGATAAAAGAACAACGAGATAGATGAAAGTGAAAAATAGAAAAGAAGGGAAAGAATGAGATTCTCGTCGAATTGACAGAAGTGAGACGTGAAGATACAGTGATTGACCTACAAATAGTTTGCATAAATTGCAGTCAACCCTTGTAAACTGGAGAGTCTGAGACCGACCTTAATGAATGCTTAAAATCGAACGGCTAAATTCGAAACAAGTCAGATTTCTCGAAAAAATCCTCCCCTTTCTTTTGATGGAAAACCTTCCAGCCCTCCCCAAAGCAAGATATTTGTTATACTATCATCCACCGTTTGTTGGCTCACATATCGATGGCTAAAGTCTAAAAATGCATTATACCTAGTATTTTCGTTTGCGATTTTATAAATCTCCGCTTGTTTTTTTTTATTTATTTACTGGTTTTCAATTATAAACAACTGTTTTTCAAAAAAATTTCTGTAAATCGTCAGCACTCATTTAAAAGTTTTCAAAGACAATGTCAAAAAGATATTTTGGTTACTATCACTGAAAAAATCCGTGAAAAATAAATCATTGTCGTAGATTGTTGGACGTTACGCATTTTTCTGCCCCCATCCTTAAAGGCTCATGTCGCAAGTGCCAGAAAATACAACGATATTATCGCAAGCTATGGTGAAGTTAGCAGATTTAAAAGCAATCTGGCAACCTCGTGATCGCTGCTGCCGCTTTGAACCATGAAGCTGTGAGTTTTACGTTCACCGCGTGAATGATTGAATATCGATATTTCCCCATTTGAAGCTGTGGTAAAGAATCGATTGTTAAGGTGTTCCTTGCAATCATCCTGTTTATCGATCCTTTCCCATGGGTTTAAGTGACCTATCAATCGATATATCGCAAAGCAAGCCACGCCACTGATAGGGATATAAGGCTCACTGCAACCTGGCAGCACTACTGCCGTGCTAAGGAAAAACGCCGTATGAACCTGCAGGCATTGCCAAATGTCCCTTGATAAAACACGAAATTCCCAGTAAACTTAGGAATATGTTCTTCCCAATTTTTCAGATAATTTCGTTCGCAATTTCACCTATAGTTCCTGAAAATGTCAAGGAAAAATATTTATAGCTTCCCGCAAAAATAAGTATTTATTCAAAGAAAATTTGGCAACTCTCGGATGTTCTTACGGCGTTCTTCCTTAGCACAATATTCTATGTGCGTGTCGTGCTTTGGAAATAAACGCCGCGCCGTAAGAGCCTGTAGACGTTGACAAATTTCCTATGACACGTCACGAGTTCTCAGGGAAATTTGTAAGTAAGTAATTTTTCCAAATTTTTCAGAGAATTTAGTTTCGTCGTCAGGTCCATTGTGTCTGAAAATGTTAAGGAAAGATATTCATAGCTTTCCTCAAGAATAAATATTTTATCGCTGTAGATGTGGCAAAATGTGTGTGTTCATAAGGCGTTTTCCCTAAGCACGGCAATAGGTATGGGTCTGAATACACTTAACTTTCCTCAAAAGTAAATATGTTTTCGCTGTAAATGTGGCAAAATTTGTGTGTTCATGAGACTTTTCCCTCAGCACGGCAGTATGGGTCTATTGAAAAAAAGTGGGAAGCCATATTCACGCAATCGGCAGTCAAAAGGGGGCACAATGCACATAGTAAACTTGGGAATGGCGTTCAAAGGCTTCTTAATTGATTCTGAGGATTGTTTTTCAGCTTCCATGGAGTGGGTTAGGTCAACGTATTTTCATCACGTCCAAGTTTCAAGCTTATCGTCTCACGTGAGATTACTGCTCGCTCCCGGTAAAGAAAAGAATATTCAAAAATTTGTCTTCAGACGCCTCAAAAGTGGCCCGCGTTATGCAGAAAGGAATTAAGCCACATCAGCTATTGCCAAATTTAATTGGGTGATTTAATTTTTTATATGAAAACGGTTGCGCGGATTTTTGAGAAAATTTCAGTGAATTCTCTGCATAGTATAAAGCAAATTCCTTAAAAATTTGTGAGGAATCTCCATAAACATTCTCTTGTACAGAATAAAATTGCCCAGTTAAATTTGGCAATAGATGATATGGTCCTTTCTCCTAGACGCGGTCTAAGTGGCTTCCGAAAAAAGGGTAGCTTTTGCCCCTTTTCTTGGGAGCCCGGAAATTTCATCGATTTAAAGCTAAAATGAAAGCTGATGGAGATATCAGTCTCTGAAGAACGTTTTAGCTTGAGTTCAGAGCTGGTTTCAGCGTACAACATTGTCAAGCTCACACTATTTTAAAAAAAAGTTTTGTTATGTGCAAAAAATTTAAACTTTACGTAGCTTTATCGCTGAAATCAGCTATGAACTGAAGCCAAAAATTAATTGGAGGCTATACTTAATAGATTTCATCTCGGTGAAATCCAAGGGCTCTGAAAAAAAGGTAGCTTTTGAGGTTATCTTTACTTTTTGCCTGTCAGTGTTTAGCATCCCAAATTCTATTTCACCTACGCTTTTCTTCACTGTTTATAATTTGTTTATACTCTCCTCCCACTTTTTCACACTCAACGACACGTATGTGTCTTAGATACACATAGATACACTGTGCCAAATAAGTACTCGTAACTATTTGCAAATCTGAATGGCGGTATCCTAGTCTTGCATGCCCCCATCCTTCTTTAGGCGTATTAAATGTTTGAATCCCTCAATTCAAGGTAATAATAATTTTTCAGTCTGAAAAAATGATGGAGAGAGTCTTGCGAAAAATGGTATTTGATACTCATGAAAATAGGCTGCTTGAGGCTTTGATTTGACTGTATGTCTCCTTTGACAAAGCCCTGCCTGAACTCTTCCGTAAGAGTGATCTTCCTCGTGCAAACTGTATAAAATGGCCCAAAGATCCCTCTGGATCGGAATCGAAAGGCCTCTAAAATGAATGTCTTCAATAAAGGATTATTTGAACGACTACGGATTCCAGATTGAAATTATAAACTTCGGCCAAAGGAACAACTTGCAAATAGAAGGACATACGAACAACTTGGAAAGAGAAGGATATACGTCAAATCACATAGTCAACAAGGCCAGTTTGGACTCCATTTGAGCCGTAGGACCCTTCGTTAAATACTAAACCTGAATACAGCATATTTTTGGAGCCGAGCAAATGTCGCATGTCACCTCTGTAGATTGATCCATTCTGTCATAAAAAGTACCTAACTCATTAAAGTTATACCTCAACAAAGTTAATCCTCTAATAAGAGGAATTTCCTGGCTTTCAATAATAATTAACTCGGCACACAGGAAAACTTTTTTCAATTGAGGGGCTTGGAGGTCAAGGCGCATAAGTGCAGTTTTTGAAAAAAATTGAGATGTTAATGATTGCAAGTAAAACTAGTCATAATGCATATCCAGTGAAAAATTCGCACCCTAATTCCAATTTTCAAGCATCAAATAGTCAGTTTGAACTTTCCGCGATAAATATCCATGTAATCTCGAAATTTCAAGCACGTTTCTCTCGAAAGAGCAAAAACTGCACTTATGCGCCTTGTCCTCCGAGCCCCTCAATAATTGCAAAACGCACTAAATTCGGTTCAGCAAGGGACCTCATCCGTCTCGAATAGACTGTGGAGAGGAAAGTTTAGAGTGATGCTCGTGAAAAACGCTATTTCTCTACGGATAACTTCGAATTTTAAAAATGTCGACGTATCCACTACATCTCCACGAAAAAGCTTTCTCATCCGCGACCCCTAACGCGTCTTTCTGCTTAGTGATCTATTCTGCCGTGCTAAGGAAAAACGCCGTGCGAACCCTCGAGAGTTGCCAAATTTCTTCTCAAAAAACAGTTATTTTTGAAGAAAGTTATGAATTTTTTCCCTTGAAATTTTCAGGAATGTAAGGTGAAATTGCCGACAAAATTATCTGAAAAATTGGAGGAGAAATATTTACAAATTTTCTAAACAATTCGTGATTTACCAAAGGAAATATGGCAACGCCTAAAGGTTCATATGGCGTTTTTCCTCAGCACGGCAGTATTGAGGCTCTAGGACTAGGTATGTCAGCCACATCGATGGCCTTGCGAAACCACGTACCTCCGTTTGTGACGTTGCAGACTTTCCATCATACATTATTTTTTCTTCGGAAAACTTGTAAACGTAATTTTTTGAAAACCTCCTCTATTTTTCTTCCATATTAGCAGAATATTCTGTAAAAATTTCAGGCTATTTGTTGATTTATTTCTATTCGAAAAAATGAAATAGGAGCGGAAATGTTGAGACACCGCAAGGAAGATACGTGGTTCCATTCAGGCCATCGACGTGCTTTACCTATATATGGAATGGAAAGCCACAAGACACCCATGCACAAAGACCAGAATTTGAAAATTTACTCTCAGTCAAAGGTTAAACTTTCTCAACTATTAATCATCAACGGTGAAATACAAATTAATGAATTCAGTGTTTCGTTTTTCCTGTTTTCCGTCTGGTCGACTAACATGAAGATCGTGTTCAAGGGTTGATTATCCTTCAACTTTCCCCCTTTGAACTTTTAGAGTGGATGTTGCGTCAAATCATGCGCTATTGGTCAAATGCATCGAAACTTAGCCACCATTCCAACTCAAAAACAAATCTACGACGGCAAACCATGGTATCCGATGCAACTCACCAGATGCAAAGACCACGCAAACGGAGGCGAAAACGCTGACGAAGAAGTAGCTGCTCAAGTACTCCAAATTCAGTTTCATTCTAGGCAGCTGAGGAGCATCTAACGAAATAACAAGAACACAGAGGATAACCGTACGAATGAACACAAGTAAACACAACGGGGTAGAGACAACAACGGTAGAAAAAACGGACGAATTAAAATAAAAAAATAAAAAATAAAAAAAAATAAAACAAAAGTCAGCTGAGCTGTATAAAAAAGCGCATCAAGGGTGTGTGAGCACGTCAGTAACTGGCCTCGAAGGCTCTCGCTCGGGGGGTGACGGGCTCTCACGGAAAGTCACGAAGTTGGGCCGAGCTTTCCGACCCTGCGGGAGAACGCGTGGACGAATATTAATAGGAAAGCCCGATCCCTCGCGCGTTTTAGGTAAACGGCCACGTGCGGCGCTGTGTTCGGCCGTGACGTCGGCGAATTGAGTGAAGATCAGGTGAGCACGGCGCACAATGGATCGAGTCAATAGGAAAGCTCGGACAGAATTCGATATCTTTAAACGCTAATAACTCTGTTTATACAAAACTCCGCGGTTCTTAAAGTGGTTTCATGAGTTTCCTCGTGAAATTTTCTTCGAGAAGCACCGTTTACAATTAAAAACGTGACAAAATAAACTTTAAAATTTGCAATTTCAGTCACAAAATTCATGTCCGGCCTCTTTCATCGACTCGATCCACTGAGCGGCGGGGAGCTGACACGTCGCTCGATTTTCATCATCCGTCTTTGTCCAAATTCTCTCAAAAACTTTACATACCAAGTTTATCAGCCATCTGCTTTCGTCAAAAGTCCATAAAAATGCCGCTCCTTAATATTTTATTAACAAACTATAATTTCCTTATTTACCCACACTATTTTCATCTCTTCCTCTTCCCCGCGTTCTACTCCTTGCTCTACCCTCCCCCTCTTCACCCTTAAATTCACCTGTTGCATCCGGATTCCATTCGGCATATTCCGGACATTTTCGGCTGTTTTCGGTGTTTCCGGCTATTTTCAGTTGATGACGTCATCTTCATAGGAGAATCCATTGATTACCTACGTCATAGAGTATCCTTTACGGCCGCCATCAAGGCGCATAACTTGGGCTGCTCTCATGCCTCCACTACCATTTATGGCCTTCTGCGGCTATTTTTGGTCGTTTACAGTCATATATGAGACTATTCGGCTGTCACCTTTTCTTTTTCATTTCTTTTTCTAACTCTTTCACTTTTCTTCTTTAACATTCCCTCCTCATTATCCTTTTTTCTTCTTCTCTTTCTTTATATCTTCTCCTTCCTTTTTTCTATTTGTCTTCATTGCTTATTATTCCTCCTCTTTTCTGATATGACGTCAAAGTAACCCCTTCACGTTTGGGGAAAAGTTCTTATTTGTGTGCGTCCCAATTGAACGTACCATTACACAATGATACCACTATTTCACCACGTAGAATCTTGTAATGCCTACGGCTAAAATTGAAGGCGAACTGATATGGCGTTGAAGTAATTTCCTTCGGTTTTATAAACTGCTAAGTTTCTGCTGAAGCATACTTTGTATGTTAAAATTGTATTAAACTACGAGTTGGAGTGCAAATTTGACCTCGACATTGTAATATCTTTCCTCAACCTTAAATGGCCCAGACTACAGTCTCTAGGTCACATTAAGCTTCAAAAGTCAACATTGATTCTCCAAAGCCCTGTCAACCGTGCCAAAGTTCTGTCACTTTCATTTAAATTTTTCGATTTAAAAGGCATAAGTTACCTAATTTTCTTATTTGTGCGTATTCCGGTGAGGGCACTGGTCAACGCTTGAAATTAAGGCTTTCAGCGCTTTAATAATGACAATAGACTTACTTAAAACACAAAAACAAACGAAAAACGTGAGATTTTATTGGTCAACCTTTTTTAACCGCAATTCAGTTGAGCAGGTGGTTAGAATTAAAGGGGCAGGTAGACAGGACCCTTAGGGACCGTTGATTAAATAAGTAACGCTTAAGGGGAAGGGGGGGTCGAGGAGTGTGTTATGTCATTTTGTTTTCGTTAAAGGATAGAAACCAACATCACAAAATCGTTACAAGACGGGAGGGAGGGGGTTAAAAACCCCGAAATTTAACGTTACGTATTTTATGAACGTCCCCTATACTATGTACATCAAAGTCTCACTAAAACTGAAGTGACTGCCTTCTCCTATCTAGCTCCTCAATTGAGAATTTAAGTACTGGTGCCTACAATATTTTCATAAGTTATTGTTTTCGTTTTCAGAGGGACAGAACTGGTTTTCATCTCATAAAATCGTGTTGCATGAATACAAACAAGTGATCAGTGCAGATAACCATCGCTCTATCCTCTGGACGTTCAATGTCTCATTGTTAGATCTGCGCAATGTTTCTATTATGAAACAAAATTTCGATCAGAGTACTCTGCGCTTAAAACAGGAGCATTCTTTACAACAGCATAAAAAAGCTCTGGAATCCTCTAGGTAAGGTGTCCTATTACCAGTACTAATTATTTTTGTGTGCGTGTATATCGAATATCGCCTTATCATCGTTGATTTCGTGTGATTATAGCATTCGCTGAAGATGGTAAAAAAAAACATATTAGATCTTACCACTCTGACACAGTGATCCGAGTATGGTAATAAACACCAGACTCTGTGGTGGCATTTACTAAATTATGGTAAGTATCACTAGAGTTCTGGTGAAAATTACAATCATTCTAATTATTTTCACTAAATAGTATCACTGTGTAAAAAAATCAAGCAGACTTTTAGTAGATTGTAATTTTTTTATCAGTGTTGAATAAGAAGTCTACAGATTCAAGATCAGTGTCTAATTTTCTTGCAATGAGAATTAAGGGCAGTGAAGAGGAACGAAAAAAGGTAGAATGAAAGGTCACTTCTGTTCCAGCTACCGCTACCGCCGTCTCTCTCAAACGGAGTGAAGCTCTAATATAAAGAACTCCCCACAGAATGCGCCCAGCTTTAATGTCGCAGAGGGTGATTTCATGAGGTTGAGACTGCTAATGCAGATACTAAATTCCTACTCATAATTCTTTATTTCTTTTTAACGAAAGCATACAGATTGACTTGAATGAAAATAATATTTCTCATCTTACCTCGGAAAAATCACAGCAGATTTTAAAGTTCTCTGTTACTTCACCCAGATAAAATAGGCAGAGAGAAATTGCAACGTCGCAAATTGAGGTAAGTTTTTCATGTCACCGTCGGTGATAAGAAAATGTGCAATTGCGCAGGCGCTAGAGTGTAAGTACTTTTAGCGGTAATAATCGTTATCCTCTATACCATCGAATCGAAGCGACACTGCTGAAGGCGCTCTGAGCAACTATTCCACCACAGAAGTATTGCACAGTATCAGGCGTAATTGAAGGCGCACTAACGTCGTATTTGGATTGACTGGTAGCGTTCACAACCGTGTGGCTGTGGAGTTGGAGTACTGCTGAGTATAGGATGCACGGCTTCTGTTTCATATATTTTTATAGAACTAGGTACCAGGCGGCATTTTTTGACGGGAAAGCTTGACTTTCAACTCAAATCTTCAAAACCCGAAAATTCAATATTGTGGAAGTGGCTTATAATGTTATAGTGCCGCCTTCGGAACTATCTAATGTTGCAATCAAGATATCTACACTTTTTCTGTTCAGTTTCACAATCGATGTGCTCTCAGCTAATTTAGACATCGATATCGGCACGCTCTTTAACTTTTTTGCGTTGAAAGTGCTTGTTACTTTATTCATCTTCATTTGTCTTCTCATTAGAACACCAGGAAAAACATAATCAAAGTTCATTATCTTTACATCATAGACGCAAAAACGCAAATTTGAGCTGATAATACTGCTTGTAAGTCAGTTTGCATCGGCACTTTTTCAACTAGTCGTCGGGTCCGTTCACAGCAAGGGCTATACATTTCGTATCCGCTTTTGTTCTATAGAAGCAATCTACTCTTATTTCTTTTCCCCTTTTCGACGAAAGCATACAAATAGACGCGAATAAAACATTCAAACATACCTCTTATTTTATCTCGGAAAAAACACGGCAAATTGCATAGTGTTATTATTGATTTACCCAGATAAATAGATTGTGAAAATAAAAAATTGATTTTTTTTGGATTTAAGTACGGTATTATTTTTCGTACTTGTTTTTGTACAGTCCTCATATGCACCAATTTAGGTTCGATTTTAGTACCCACAGCTGTATGTACAATTGTGCATCCATTCGTTCAATTTTTTTTTCTGTTTTTCTCTATGCAAAACTCTCTATGGTATATAACAGAAGGGGATTTAACGGTTTTTAGTACGCATTAAGGAGTTTTTATTTGAAAAAAAACTTTAAAAAAGATACCAAAGTGCCGTATTATATCTCAATTAGAGCAATCATGAATAAAGCCACTTGTAGTTTATTCTTCAGTATACACGAGGTAGAGTTTCCCGTCGAAATCTCAAAATCTGAGTCCCCGACCTAACTTGACAAAAAAGTTCTCCTACTGAAAATCTTGTCTCCTTGCACAAAGGTCCCTTTCCCCGTAGATCCCTTGCACTGGGAGAGGGAACAAAATTCCATTTTAGGGCTGCAAAGTTGACTTAATTAATCCCATTTTCTACAAGAATAAGACTTAGCGTAGTCTTTGGCCCAATTTTTGTTTGTAATGAGAGAATAAGTTGGTGAATTTTCAGTTAGATAAGCCAATTAGTTTCCAAGTAAGTTTACGAATAAACACGCACGCCTCAACTTTGAAGTGTAGTATACGTTACTTTGTCGAGGGAACGTCAATTATTTGAACCATTGCCCGTCGAACTGCCTGATTTGTAGTGCACCTTTTCCGTTTCTAGAAAGGCTTTTCTTCCTCTCTTGTTTAGAGAGTATTATAATGCTTTCCATGGGCGATCGCAGTTAATACCGATTTATGTGGAGGTGTTAAAGGCAAATGGATAAGCTAATAAGATCGGTCCGGTTGCACCTGTTTGCAAATTTAAAAAGCGGATCCCTCGAACCACTAACGCGTATAATTACGTTAAGTCAACCAGTTTCCGAGTTTCTTTCCATGGAACGCAGGGCGACAGGGCGTACTGCTGATCACTTCCCGTGTCTTTCAAAATATACCGTGGCTTCATTATCAATATTCAACTGAATTTGGTCCTTTTGAGCAAAACAGTTCACCTTTTTCTTCTTGGGTTGTACAAGAGAGTGTGCGGTTGGACGTTCATTTTCAGCATATTTCAAGATTCAGTGTACTACCAACGTGTGTTGAATTATGAGACTTGCTTGTATCATTGATTATAATTTGCTTGCATGCTTGATTTATTAAAGAAAAATTTTCAACCAG